AGACTGAGTGTCAGACACTAGTAATATATGTACATTTAATTGGAACTAAATTATGTCTAGTTTAAATTAAAAAATGTTGACTATTTTCATTGAAGTCTAATGACTAAACATGAATTCACTCAGAAAACCCGTGATACAATTGTTGCATTTAAATTGGGCGTCATTGAATTGTTAGGTCATCTGAAATATTGAATTTGTAACGTGAATCTGTTCTGCTTTTTATTGGACATTTCACCTGTCCTTACATAAAGTTTTGTAAACATTGGATATGTTTGGAACGAAAAAATCAGACCTTTGTATCTTCTTGTCCTTGAAAACATTTGATCTTTATAACTGTAATTAATGAAAACATGGTACGAAATTGGAAAAAGCTGAATACAAAACAACAATATGATATAAACAAGCTTCATGAAGCCGTAGCACTGGTGAAAAGTGGAAAGATGTCATCTTTGAAAGCCAGTAAAAAATACAAAATACCATCGACTACTATTCGTAAACATGCTCTGTATAATCTTAATGTTGGTACTGGTCGACAAAACATTCTAAGCAAAGATCAAGAAGCCTTGATTGTGAAAATGCTGGCAACGTTTGATGACTGGGGTTTTCCTCGTACACGTAGAGAAACCATAGATTTAACGACAAAGTTTATACGTGAAGCTGGTTTGTGTTCAAAATTTCGGATTGGTTATCCAGGAATAGAATGGTTACGATTATTCCTAAAACGTTGGAGTAATGAACTAAAACAAAGATCAAGCGCTTTGTTAGAAATAAGTCGCGCTGTAGCTTTAACAGAAGATCGAGTGAATGTCTGGTTCAAAAATTATGGTGACGTGCTTGAAAAATTAGATATACGTGATCGACCGTCTCAAGTATTCAACATGGACGAGACTGGTAGGTTGCAACTGAACTTAGAACTGGTTCTTTACAATGATTTATTATTTATCTAGGATTCCTTGACAATCGCGGCAAAAAACGTGTTATTGTGCGAAACAGTAAACGACATCCTGCCTATAGGATTCATGGCGGCACTGCGAAACAAAATACAACAGTATTATTTTGTATAAGTGCTGGAGGTCAAGTGCTTCCTCCATTAATAATTTTTAAAGCCAAAACGTTAAGAAGTAACTGGTGCACTGGTTCAGTTAAAGGCACTTGTTATGGTGCTAATAAATCGGGCTGGATTAATGAAGATACGTTTATTCAGTGGATGAAAAAATGTTTTATACCTAATACGTCAGCATTGCCTCGACTATTATTATTGTTGCTAGATGGACATTCATCACATTTGTCTTATCAAGCTTGTGTTATGGCTCTTCAACATCAGATTCATATTTTATGCATACCCTCACACAGCACACACGCACTTCAGCCATTAGACTCCTCATTTCTTGGCACAATTAAACGTTCTTGGAAAAATTTATTAACAAAATATTATGATAAATATGGTGGTAAAAGTTTGGATAAAGAACTATTTACATATTTGCTTAAAAAACTATTTGATGAAACAATATCACCATCACTAGCAACAGTATCATTTACAAAAACTGGTCTATATCCTCTCGATCCCACTGCGATACCGAAGTCCAAGATAAGAGCTAATAACAAGTATTACGGATTATCAGGTAATGTAATGTATTCATTGTGCTACTGGAAATGATATGGAATGTACTTTTGTTTAGAAAACGGGACAGACCAATCACTACAGCTTAATGAATCGTCAAATAACAGCTCTCATCCTGTGCTACCAGAAAGTTTGCATCAATCAACCCCACAATTAATACCAGTTGTTGCACTTGACTCAAAGCAGCTTCCTTCAACGGATGATGCCATATATCGCGCTGTTGACGGTAGTTAAAATATGACATAATTTAACAGCATTCTCCTCGTTGTTTTTTGTCTCTCTTCAGATGCGTTAGCTGCAGCTGATAAGATTTTAAACTCAACAGCGCCCTTACTAACAGCAGCGACAGCAAATTCTACAGACCAAATGGATGTTAGTCATAGAGAAGCTCAATCATCAAATAGTAAAAGTTCACCAGCACTAACAGAATCAGTTTTTAATGACAGTGAGCATGATGATGAAGAGTTCTTCGATAACAGAGCAAAAGAAAGACATACATTAACATCATCTTCAACAGATACTACACTGTTATCTAAAGGTAGAAGCATATTGCTTAAATTGAACGAAGAAACTCGTTACTTTTATTGTTTTTCAGTTGACATCAGAAGTCAAAAACCAGACGACGAAATTATTCAAAATACAATAAGTCAATATATGTATCGGTCCCCACCATGTGCACGTAAACGTACACAACGAGTCGTTCCTCGGCATGATGGCGAAGTTCTTACTTCTCCAGAAACTATGAAGCGTTTGTTAAACAAATAAATAACAAGAATGAATAAAGAAAAGAAAAAATTACAAAAACCGAACTCAGCTTCCAAGAAAAGAACATTAACTAGTGAAATCAATACACCATTGAGTACTTCATCAGCATCCTGTTCAAGAACAATCCACACTCCAAACGTTTCTTTACGCTCTTCTTTGACACCATAAATACGTAGATTTGTACGACGATTATAAGTAGCAACATCATCTAATGAAGCCTGAAGTTCGCCGACACGTTTTTCAAGATACATTAATCTGTTTTCGAA